GAACAATAAAATAGGCTTGACTCTTGAAACAGTAGGGTGGAATAAATTTGACACATAATCGTCCAACTGTTAATGATGTGTCATCTAAAACATTGTATGTTGGTGTTACGTATTTTTCGAGATGATGTAGTGTGTAAGAATCCTTTTTATAACCCACAGGAAATGGCAAATCTTATATCACATTTTTGTGAGGTATATTATGATAAGTTTTTATCATTTCACCATATTGTTTTGTGACAAGACAGTAGGTGTTAAAATTGTGTGAAACGGTCTTCTTTGACTCGACATTAATGTGAGCGAGTATGTTCCATTAGTTTGTTGTGTCCTTATATACATCTTCAAAGGATGTCAGGTTTCAGTCAAAATCTTTGATCTGCATCCATGAATGAAAGCCTTATTGTAATAGCTTGAATTATTATAGGTAGAATAAAATAAAGAAGTGATATAGAAGTATTGTGCATTTCTAAATACACATCTCTTTTGTGCCTAAAGTGGTACTTAGTATAATCCAACATTTTGAATGCAGGTGTTTGCATTTAATAAAGCTAATTACATGATGACTATTCTGAAAAATATTGTTAATGCATTATTTTGAAAATGAAGAGAGCTGTCTGTCAATAGTTTGAACACAGATACTTATATATTTTTTCTTTCAAATTTGAGCTCATAGTAGGCAATTAATTAATATTTCACTTAAGGCAAGGAACACTTGCAAGCACTGCATCTAAAGCAGCCGAGTACAAGACATGACAGAATGACTGACGGCCAACTCTGTTAATATTTACTGCTTATACTTGTTTCATTCAAAACAATTAGACAACAAAATGTCAAGAATGACAAAATAAAGTGAATGTTTCAAACTTGGAGCAAGTTCGTGGCCTTTCGCGCTTGGGGTCATGTGACTTTTCAGAGATTTGTGTGGGATGGCCAGGTATTATCATTTGTTATGCTAGGCGTGCCCAGTACAAGGGAATGCTATTTCTAGCAGTAACTTGCTAAATATGTTTTCAAACCTCATTGCGAAAAGACTTTGTGAAGTTTTTTGCTATTTCTCTTCAGGCATATGTCATGTAATTTATATCGATAGGTGCACTTTCTGGTGCAAGACAAGTGAATGAATCATTCTGATGCAAGGCTAGTGCATTGAATTTGAATAAATTGGTTTATTTTGTGTTGAGAATAAAATGTTTTATAGAATCTTTTGTTGATTTTAAGGCTAACCCAAAACTGTTTGCTGTCAGTAGAGAATGGGAAGTTTGCATTTTTGCGTGTAACACGTCCATATCCAATGTTAACTCGGATATATTTGTTTGCAGTAGAAAATGTGATTTTTGCTTTAACTGGTATGACAGATTTAAATGTCATTTTCAAGGCTGACACTAATACATTAACTCTCCCTTGGCCAGTCCATGGAGAATGTGTACACCAATGTGTACATTTCTTTTTAAATAGTTCTGTTTGAAATGTCACATAAACTCTCAACAATGGTACAGACTTGATTATTGACAGACCGCTGGAATATATAGCTGGAATGTTGCTGAGTGCGGTGTAAAACTAAACTCACTCTCTCACTCACTCACTCACTCACTCACTCATTCACTCTCAACAATGGTATGTAATTCTAATTACCCATAACCAAGACCTAGATGAAATTTTATGAATTATTCACTGCAGTGGAGTTGATGAATGTGTGATGCTGTTCGTGATCAGTCAGTACAGATCTGTAAGAAAATGCATGTCTGCAAATTGAAAAGGATATCTTGAGTAATTTGAATACCCAATTCTTCCGGACCTTAGAGAATAAAATGAAATTGAGTTCAATTCAAGTCTAGATTGCTTCAAACTATTAAGCATAGTTCTGAGCTCCATTATGTTGTGATATTTATGTTGTAGATATATATTTTTGAATGACTATGTTTTGGGGACTAAGGATTCTAGTAATACGCAGTTTTGTTATCCATCTACTATTTCAAAACTGGTGTTTCTTGGGGCCATAACAGGGTTAGTTTGAATACAATTACTACATGTTGAGTGAATTTGGGGGCATGGGGTAGCCACGTGGTTACAGCACTTGCTGGTCATGCTTCGGTTCGACTCCCTATGTGAGTACAGTAAAAGAAGGCAGTTGGTGGTTTCCATCACTGATATTGCAGGGGTGGAAATGACCCATTGCCCGACGTCCGAGTCCAGTGTTTTTTTCTGTTGGGCAAGCAAATTTGTATCTCACACTGTACCAGTGTCCAGTTGACTTTCCAACGCAATTATGTTTATTTAAAAAATCAACAAGAAAACGGCCGGTATAGTGGAAAAATTATCAGGGCAAGTGATTTTACATGTGCCACTGTACCGGAGTACACTAGCAAGTTTAAAGTTATTTCCATCCCTGTATTGCCTGAATGATGTTAAATGCATTGTTCAACCACACTCACTAACTCATAGATTTCAAACTCCTTCAGTCAAATGTGAATCTGTCAGCTGTTGTCATGATGGTTATCACCAATCACATTTAATGTTCAAGCTTGAAAGAAATCTTACTCCACTTTTTCTTTGGACAAGTGACATTCTGCTGGTTTGATCTCTTTCTTATCCAGAAACAATCCCATTAAGTAGTATATTGGCATCACATTGTTACAGTCCCCGCAAACAAGTGACAGTGATCACCAGCCTTGGAGATACACGGTTATGTTGTCGGTGAACACATCTGGCTGTGTGTCATCTAACAAGGCAGGTATTTCCGGGGACTGGTCAGCGGTAATGTATTGTCTGTAAAACAACAGACAGGCGATCACCCAGCTAATACTGCAGCCGGAGGAAGATCTTTACTCACGACTCTATTTGCAACTATGCTTGTCGTAAGAGGCGACTAACGGGATCGGGTGGTCAGGCTCGCCGACTTGGTTGACACGTCATTGGTTCCCAATTGCGTAGATCGATGCTCAATCTTTTGATCACTGGATTGTCTGGTCCAGACTTGATTATTTACAGACTGCCGCCATATAGCTGGAATATTACTGAGTGCGTGTAGAACTCACTCACTCACTCACTCACGACTCTATTTACTGTCTGTATTTTTGAGTTTCTAGTTGTGTTAGCAGCGGCGGTGGGGTAGCCTAGCGGTTAAAGCATTTGGTCGTCACACTGAAGGCCCGGGTTTGATTCCCCATATGTGTACAATGTGTGAAGCCCATTTCTGGTGTCCCTTGTAGTGATATTGCATAAAAGAGGCATAAAACTAAACTCTCTTTCTCTCACTCATGCTTGATTCTCTCAGGGCAGTGGGGTAGTCTGGTAATTAAAGCGTTTGCTCCTCTCGCTGAAGACCTGGGTTTGATTTCCCACATGGGTACAATCTGTGAAGCCCATATCTGGTGTTCCCTGCCATGATATAGCGGGAATATTGCTAAAAGCGGCGTAAAATTAAACTCACTCACTCACTTGATTCTCTCATATGACCATAGTCGCGGTCAGATTATGACAGCTGAACAATGTTCATGTTCTTTAACATCTTTTGAGTGGTTTAGATTGTGTTATGACATCAAGAAAATATTTCCAAAATTGCATTGATATAAACAAACTGCGACTTTCTTTCCTGCTACATGTCAGAATGGAGGAATGTCAATAGTAACTGTGTTTGATTTCTCTGTAGCAACATCTTATCCAAGCACATATTGGTGTTTGTGATATTGATCTTACCACTGATAATGTAGCTAGATTTCATTGTGTTGTAAGCACTTGCTAATATGCAATCAATATGACTACACACGTTATATACACCCGTCAATCAGTGATCAATTGCATCATTAGGCCTCGTTATTGGGTGCAAATAATCATGCCTTCTAGTCTATGTACATAGATCCCAGCAGGTTGTTATGCCAAGGCATGTCATACAAACCTCTCCGCTACAGAAACATCATCACATTTGTACAATGCAATCATAAGAATTTTTTGGTAACCTGAGACAAGACATGATATTCTTTATTAATTTGAGTTAATGTCTTGAATTTGTTTCTTTAAATGCACTTGTTATGCCAACTACTTGAGTTGGGATGTAAAGATCTATTGAAATTGTTTAATTGGTCTGTTTTGATAAGAATGTATAGAATCGCAAATGGTATTTTTCAAGGTATGCATAATGATCTATTGTCTCATTGGTTGCAATTAGTTATTAATAAATGTATTAGAAAACTAGGCTTTTAAGGTCAAATTCTAACCTGATGCGAATTGATTAGCAACGATTATGACTGCAGCATGAACTAATCATAAACTACAATTAGTAGTCCCTTGAGTTTGTTATAATCACAGTTTACTGTATATACTTGTCCGGTGACTGGACATATATACCTGTGCAGGTGTTGTGGGTAGTAATTATTTATGAAGAAATTCCATTCCATGAATTAAATTTCTTTTCAATTTCAAATCATGTTGTTTTATGTAGGTTTTCAGCGGATGCATTATATGTGCCAAGAGTCAATATTTTGTCCAAGGTCTGCAGCAAGTGACAATGGAAATTGAAAATTGAAAAATTAATTGTGATTTCTATGAATGCATGAAATCAAGAACATTAAAACAAATAAATTTTTTTTAACAATATCATGATTCCTTTTCCCAATGTGCTTAGTTGAAATGCCTGTTTTATATATGTGATTAATTTAAATGCATTTACTTCATTCACATTTACTGTTATGTATCGTATGTAGAATCCAACAGGTTTCCTTGGCTCATTGCTTGTGTTGGAGGTGACTAAAGTAAAGACGGAATGGTCAGGGGCCCATTGTATAAAGTGATCGTAGCGCTATGACTGTCATGAGTCTGTGTGGGAGTTATGATCACCTTAGCGCTACAATTGCTTTGTGAAATGGGGAACGGGCTCTTTGACTGTGGATCTGACATCTATGTTTTTCAGTTGGCCCATGTATAAACCAGGTGTCACAAAAAGTCTGCCCATAGCATGTTTGTATTTTTGTGAATGGTTTTGTGTTAACTCTTATTGCTCGTTTCAGGCTTCCCATCCTGCCACCCCAATCCATGCAAGAACCATGCACAGTGCCTCGGGGGATATCTTCTGACCACAGCGTGTGCAAGTGAGTAGCCTCCCCTTTTCATGGTAGATAATACAGTTCAGGCTGTTGAGATAAAGAAGGCTGCAACAAATAACACGAGTGGATATAACAGCAATATCTTCCTGATGTTGCAATGAATTTTGGTGAAAGCATTCACTAGTGATTAAAGTGACTCGTCATGCTGAAGGCGGGGGTTTGATTCACCACATGGGTACCATGTTTGATGCCTATATCTGGTGTCCCTTGTTGTGATGTTTCTGGAATATTGCTAGAAGCAGCATAAAACCCAACTTAGTAACTGTAATGAGTTTGTCACAGGTCTGTTTGAAATAGGCACAGACTGCTCCATTGTGTGATGAATGATATCCCCTTTACACACTAATACCCATTTCTGGTGTCCCCTGCCGTGATATTGCTGGAATATTGCTAAAAGCGGCGTAAAACCAAACTCAGTCAGTCAGTTTACACACTAATAGGTGTCAGAACTTTGTAACTTCAGTGTATTTACTGTATAGAATAGGGTTCGGGGGGGAGGGGAGGGGGTCTAGGACGTGTGTGTACATGGATAGTCCAGTTGTCTAAGGCATAGTCTGTTTCACAGTCCCTGAACGACATTATTATCCCAACTGTCTTGCCCTCCCTACAATGCTAAAGCCCAAACTGAAGCAAGTCCAGATTTCCTCAGGTTCAGTGTATATCTCCCTGGGGCTCCTTTTCAATTTAAATGGGTTTATTTGTTACTATCAAGATTACATATATTCAGAGGCTAAGCGTTAGTCTATATGAGGCACTGCAATTAGTAATGCACTGTAGCATGTTTTGGCCAGGCCACAAACCTGTGATCATGGGTTTCTATGGGTGCTATGTGTGAAGCTCATTTCTGGTGTCACCTGCCATGATATTGCTGTAATATTATGACATAAAACCTACTCACTTACTCTGATTACCTCTGCAAATGGCTTGCATCTTGTTTCATCTGTGTATTACAGATTGATGGTGTCTTGATTTACTTACGTTATCTTCATTGTTGAAACAAATTGGGTTTGGGTATATCGTCTATAGTACAAGTGAAACAAGTGTTAGCATAGCTTCTTTGTGTACCTGTCCAGCATTTAGACAATCAGCAAACAGTGTTCGTTATTAATGAGTACAGTTACAGTCAGTAAGTGAGTCCAATCAAGAATTTATGACTAGGTTCTATCCCAATGTCATTCAGGTACTTATCTTGACTTCTGCTGGAGGTATCGATTTCTCTCATTGAAATCTTCAACAAGTTCATCATTACAGGTCTATATTAACAGGGTTTCATGTTTCTGGGAGAGGGAGTTTGAAGAATAGTTAATTCTACCCAACAGTAGTTACATTTTCATAATTGATGTTAACATTTTTGTGGTGAGATCAAGTGTCTCTGCATCTCTTTGTGTACAGATTGTGTTGTGTAAGTTTTGATGTAATTGAGCTCTGTATTGCTATTAGCTGTCCTCTGACTGTCCTCAGACTGTTAGCCCCCACCCTCAACTCTATTCTAAACTCCACCCTCAACCCATCATTCCCACTTCCCTACCCTCAACTCCATCCTTTTCACTACTTCCCATTCTCAATTGCACTCTCAACTCCACCCTCTTCCTGCTCTCCCAACCTCAACTCCACCCTCAACTCCATCATTTTTTCACCTTCCCATTCTCAATTCCACCCTCAACTCCACCCTCAACTCCACCCTCAACTCCACCTTCAACTCCACCCTCTTCCCACCTTCCCACTCTCCCACCCTCAACTCCACCCTCCTCCCACTCTCCCACCCTCAAATCCACCCTCTTCCCACCTTCCCACTCTCCCACCTTCAACTCCACCCTCCTCCCACTTTCCCACCCTCAACTCCATCCTCTCCCCACCAGAAATAAGAAACAGGTTCCAGTTTTCTGCCAAGTTGTTTCAAGAATAAAGCTCAAACAGAGACAGTTTAGCTGAGCATGTGACCATATTCCCTGGTGGAGTCAGAAAAACCGTTAGATATAACAACTGTACATGAAATACATCACAGAGATTTACAGTATTACAATATCACAAAATGGACATTTTGTATTCCAGTATATCACGATACAGTCACAGTATAATTATGGTTTATCATGATACAGACACAATATATCACTATGCAGCCACATTGTATAACAGTATATCACAACACAGCCTCAGCATATTACAATATGTTACAATACAGTCACAGTATATCACAATATATCACTACAGCAACAGTATATTACAATATATCAGAATACAACCACAGTATATCACAATATATCACAATACAGTCACAGTATATTACAGTATATCACAATACAGTCACAGTATATTAAGTATATCACAATACAGTCACAGTATATCACAATACAGCAACAGTATATTACACTATATCACAATACGGCCACAGTATATTACAATATATCACAATACAGCAACAGTATATTACAGTATATCACAATACAGCCATCGTTAGGATGAGAAAGCCACAATAACTCGGTGTGCCTAGTGGCTGCAAGAGTTGTATACTCCCCAGGGAGTTGAGATTGATAATGCGATGTGCTGTTCAGATTGACATCCAATGATCGAGGGAAAAATACCAGCGCCTTGAGCATGCACCAGTGCGTGGATATGTGCGCTATATAAATATCCTGTAATAATATAATAATAATAAATAATAATACAGTCACAGTATATCACAATATAACACAATACAGCAACAGTATATTACAGTATATCACAATACAGCCACAGTATATTACAATATATCAGAATACAGCCACAGTATTGTACAGTATATCACAATACAGTCACAATGTATTACATTTAAAGTTTAAATAAAAACACTGTTTACTTTGTGATACCTTGAAGCTGTTTGTGCTTGTTCATCCTGCACTATAAGACAGTGAACTAAATGACAGGTCACTTTTTATCATTCCTGACAGAACAGCTGAATTAGTTACCTTGCAGTGTTAATTAACTCTAGTTTTCTGTGTAGTTAGCAATACCTATACAGGTTAAGCATGCCCAGAATCTGCCTCACGGAACACTACATCAGCTGTCTGTCTTTGTGCGGCTGGATCAATAGCATGGTTGCACTCTCAAGGGGTTTTGCTCGATGACAACAAAAGAAATGTTTCAGAGTCTGATCAACAAAACCACATTAATATTTCACTAGCTTTCTTTTTTCCTGCAATTCCGAACCATATTTTCTCAAAGATTCGCTGGTTAATTATTTAATCCCAATCAGAAATGGTTTGCTTCGACAGTTTGGGAAGGTAAAGAAGGTGGACTAGCTCAGTTGGCCACACGACATTGCGTTAAGCGTGTTTATAATGTTAATTACACTCTGAACCATTGATTGGTTGATTTCATGTGTCATGATCTATGAAAGACGCATTGATCCTCATTTCGTGCAATGTCTACTTTCACACCTCCCATTAGATTAAAGGAAAGTAGTTGAGTACCTTATGTTAAGTTCTTTTTTGATGAATAGCGCATGCTCATTAATCTGAAAATGGCATAAAAAGAGAGTCTGATAGGATGGTTTAACTGGGCTGTTTTAACTGAAATAAAATATTTGAAATCGAAAATGTTAGAGCAATATGAGTCAGAATTTTCAAAACCAGTTATAGTGGACAATAGTTATAATCAAACAATATTTTGAATATTTACTTTTTGTTTTGTTTAACACAACTCACAATTTTATTTCAGATCTGTAAATAATCAGGTCTAGACCAGACAATCTAGTGACTGACATCATGAGCATTGATATGTGCAGTTGGGATAAGTGATTATATTTTAGGGGGCTTTCAGCAATATTACAGAAATATCTCAGTGGAGAAATGTACCATGTTGGGAATTGAAGCCAGGCCTTTGGGGAGCTGAGCTGAGCTGAGCTGAGGCTTTATAACCTCCAGGCTATTCCATCGTCCGAAATGTCTTGCTGACTTTGTTGAATGTGTGTTGTGTATCTATTGACAACAGCATATATTGTTGGGCACAAGTTTCTGTTCCAAATCAATATTGCTTGTTTGTATGACATAATGCAAACATTGGCTGTATGTCATAAGAAAAGAGGACATGTTTCTACTTAACAAAGGAAAATCCAGGTATCATTGGATCAAACAGTGATTTTGTTTAAATTTAGTTTAATATAGACAAACTTTATGGATAACAACTTCTTTATTTCATGAGTGCGATGCTTCAATATAGATTCTTGTACTGTGTTGTCCTTGATTGACAACAGTACAAGAATCTGTATCGAAATGTTTCACTCATGAAATAAAGAAGTTGTTATCCATTAGTTTTGCCCACAATGTACTTTCCAATTTCAATTTTTTTTTGAAAAACCAAAAATTACCAACCCCTCCCTTCAAATAAAGTTGCTGGTGCAGGAATGTGTCTGTTTTTTCATATGCAGAATCGCCAACCATTTCCATCCAATCAACAGGTGGAAGTGTTATATTCTTGCAGTGCTAATACTAGTGGACAAGGTTTCAGGTTCTCCCAATGGACAGATGCATCATACAGGCTTGACTTGCATGGTCAATACTAACATGACAGTGATCCAGCAGGGCTTGTGGCACCTATGAAGCAGGTGTCCCTTGGGGGCCCTAGATTAGACTGGATCCAAGGACCCTATTGCTGGCAAACAAGACTGGATGTTGTGGTCCGGCTCTGTGACTTGGTTGGTGGTGTGTCGTTGTGTCCTCCCTCATAGGGTGGCTCAGTGCTCATGTTTCTTGTCAGTGGTGGGCCTGGTTCGGGCTTCATTATTTATGGGTTGCTGGTGTTAATATTCTTGTTTGTGGTGTTAAGCAACATTTACTTATTGTGTGTTGAGAGTATTTAACTGTTGCAGTTAGTCACTGTTTGTTACAGAATCCTGCTGTAGAATCTAGTCTTACAGTTAATGAATGCTGTCTTTGTTGAAGTATCTTGACCATTATAAGGTGAAAACATGTTGATATGACAGATACTGGTAGATATGATCATTTTGA